ACTCCTCCCACACTAAGAAAACAGGAGGGGAGGAGTCAGCTGAGCTCCTGTGTAGCGGAGCACAGAGAGGGAGAGAGACGAAGTAAACAAACAAGCAGGAAAATGAAACTTATCCTCCTCATTTTTTTACTGACCTCAAAATATTTATTGTGCAATTAATTGATTTATTGACTATTGCGACAGGCCTAATTGCAAATTATAAAAAAAGAAAAATTGAAATGTTATCCTGTGTTGTATCTAATGGTGCATTTTAGGGCTGGACAATAAATCAGTAACAATATATATTGTGATAGACATGTGAATAATATTTTAAAAAGTTGTCCAATAGAATGTTGATAATTTCACTGAACTCAGAATCCTACAGCATTGTAGGCTAAATTAATCAGGCTTTTTTTCCTGGTCCTTATTTCAAATAGTAAAAACAAAAAAAAACTAATCAATAATCATTGAAAGCAACTGATTGAAATGTTTATTTCTTGATGCATTTTTCAGGCATATATCACCCAGCCCTAGTGCATTTTGAAAAAGTTTAACCCAGTGGTCTTTTAGATATATAGTTGTGCAATGTGTGCCCGCACTCAGTGTAAATAAAGTGCACCGCTAAATCTGCTGAAAACACGTAATGTTTAATCAGACCGGTGAAGAGCCTCAGAGAAGATGTTCAGGTGGAAATATGAGTGAATCAGAGTCAAGTAAGACAACTGCCAATAATGAGGGGTCAAGTCGGACGGAGAAGAGCCATAAAAACACAGATTTGCAGAATATTTGCTAGACTAGTTGGTTTACCTGTTCAACCTGACGTATCCTTTTCCTCTGCATACTTGACTCATCAAATCTGTAAATATGTACCAGTACGTATTAGTTCTCAGGCGTCTCGATACCACGCAGCTCTTTTGTGGACGTCACCATTGATGACTGGTTTTTAAACTTTGCCTGTTTCCGCACATAAACGCCTGYGGTAGTGGCAGCCATTCACAAATTTTGCTAACACAAATGTAAACTGTAAGTACACATTAACCACTAATGTGAGAGAGAAAAAAAGTGCAGATTTTGTTTGTTCATTAATTTGGTTTTCACCGGACTTTACGACTTTGAAATAAGTAACATTAAAATAAATATTGAAGATAAATCCTTAGTGAATCTGACATCATTGTATGTAAGTCGTTATGTTTTTTTGTCTGAACTGATCAGATAAGTGAGACAATGGATCATTGAAATGTTTTTTAAGTATAAACTTTATAGTTGTCACACTGAGTGTTGATAACAGTAAAGTTGAAGCTCTGTTTGATAAATGTACTCAGTGTGAATGTCTGCTCTTAATATGGTACCATTAGCCAAGCTAATAGACTTAGGGCTGCACGATATCAAGAAAACCTGCGATGTGCGATAACAGTGCTTAATATTGCGATGACGATATGACTTGCAATAAATCAACAAATACTTTGAAGTGATTTATGATTTGATGTTGTTTCTCTAGTTCATTTTATTGATCAGATTGATGCTGACAAACCACATAAATGCAAACATTAGAGCCAATCATTTATTGCAATTTATGCATGTTTTCTGATATGCATATTGCACTGGCTGTTATCGTGATAACGATAAATTTGCAATATATTGTGCAGCCCTAAATAGACTGTATCATAAACTCTATGCATTTTTAAAAGTCTATTTTTTTTTCTGTTTTAGGCAAACTACTCCAGGATCCCATCTCCCCAACACACCCAGAGTGTCAGCATTATGTCTGCTTGGGCTGTAAAGGCCAGAAGATGCAGATCAGGCTGTCGTGCAGTCGCTGTAAGGACTCTTCCTGTTTCCAGGAGAACAAGCAGCTTTCCCTCCTGGTGCAGTGCTACAGAAAGCTCTGCCTCTACGTAACTCACTCGCCCCTGCTGCAGTCGATCAGCAGCCACGTCGGAGGCTCTCCAGAGGTCATGGGCCTGCTCGAAGAGGTGCTGACGTCCCACGAAGCGGAGACGGACGACCCGGGCTGGCTTCAAGAAGACGGGAACCTGTCTGCTCCCGAGTCTCTCACCCCCACAGAGGCACCGCCTGTTCCCACCGAGCTCTCAGCTGCTCCCCAGAGCTCCTCCTCCGACCCTCCGTGTTTCAACGGACGCCAGGAATGCAACGGAGACGCGCTGGAGGATCTGGATCCCTCTTCCCCGGAGCTGGAAGTGTGTGAACTGGTTGAGGAGCGGCAGCATGCGGCAGTAGCTGTATCTGATGCTGCTTGTGGCGGTTTGGAGCTGAGTCTGACCACTGGACCTTTAACACCGACGCCAGGCACTGTGTGCTCACTCAGGGGTGGGGAGGCTTGTAACAGGGAGCTGGAGGAGGGAGAGGTGTTGCTCCTCAGTGTAGAGGAGGTCTTACAGACATTAGATCCCCTTCAGCCCGGGCGAGACTCTCTTCATTCACAGCCAGAAAGGATACACACACACATAGCCACGGACAGAGCACACACTCACATGTACCTGCAGCTGGACGCAGCCCACAACTACACACAGATCCAAACTGGCAGGACTAACACAGTGGCAGGTCACGGTGCTCACACACAAGCATCTTCCTGCGAGCCTTCAGCAGCCTCCAAGCCCCCACCAATCCGCCTTAACCGCAAGCGCTCCCGGTCCGAGAGTGACCGGGAGCAGGTGAAGCCCCTCCCCATCGTCTCCATCCTGCAGGGCTCCCCGTATTTACACACTCCAGCCTCCCCCCACACGCTGCACACAAAACTCCCTACGCCTCCCGTAACGACGCCGGCGCACACGTACTCCTCCCTTCCCAACGGCGTGCTCTCCAAGCCCAGTCGTCCCCCACAGAACCACAGCAAGGGCGCCAGGAAGCACGTGGAGCAAAGCCCCAAGAAGCCCCACGCCAAGGCTCGCAGCGGTGGAGGGTCAAAGACCAAGGACCGGAGCAAGGAGCAGCGCCTGCTGTCAGGCTGCCTACTGCCCACRCCGCCTGTTAGGCCTCCTTACAAGAAGCAGGTGGAGAAGAAGGGCTGCAAATGTGGCCGGGCCACTCAGAACCCATCAGTTTTAACCTGTAGGGGGCAGCGCTGCCCCTGTTACTCTAACCGCAAGGTGAGACCATCACTGTTTCTGCATTAATACAAACTAACTCTGTTTATTCATCACTTCTTATGGTTACATTATACTTTGATCTGTATATTTATTTATTTAAGGCTTTATTAATTTCATTAAAAATAAATTGTTTATACAAAAGAAAAAAATACAAATCACAAATAAAATGCAAAGCAGTAGGAAGGAGAAAATTTTACCCAATTAAATTCAAACAATAGTAATTTACATAAAATTGTGTATCTATTATTTATATTATTGTGTTATTTAATAATACATTTAATTTAGTTAGAAAATGTGTTAAAAGGCAGGTGCTACTCACAGTCCTCTTCATCAGTACTGCTACATTTCAAAATGTAAAATATAACAACGCATCTATTTGATTTGTTTATTTTTCAAAACTAGCATATGAATGCCGAGTGCTTGACTTGTTATTAAAGCTAAAAGAAAAACACTAGCTAAATAAGACAAAATGCTAGCTAAAAGTAGTAAAACACTATTAAAAAGCTTAAAGTAGTGAAAGGAGAGCTAAAAATAGCAAAACAGTACCTAGTAACTAAAAGCAATGAAATGTTTGCTAAAAGTTAAAAATAGAGAAAGAGTAGCTAAATGTAGCAAAAGGCTATATAGCAGAGCAGTAGCTAATAGAGCAGAGGTGCCCAGAGTGGAGCCGTAATTTGGCCCACCAACAGTAGTCCTGATTATTAGATTATAATCTGACCTGTAGAAACATTATATTTCCACTTTTCAACCACTGGTACAACTATAGGTACAAGGAGCTGAAGTCACTTTAACTTTGAATTAAGATTAAACATAAAATACAAGTAACTACATGAGACATTTAGATTAGATTTAAGCCCATATCTAGATTTACACACCTTATATCACATATACTCAAAATTTAACTTGTGAAAATCCCATGAATCTTTGCTGCCTGAACATATGTTGAATTTTCCCCATGTCCATGGGTTGAAAAAAATAATAATGTGGGCAACTGCACTGGCTGCTAGCTTAATCATAAAAATAAAACAACTTTACTTAAGAAGTATTTGCATTTCATGTATTATATTACTGCATTTGGCCCGCGGCCTGTAATAGAGCATTTAGGCTGAAGCCGTTCACAAAGTGAACGAAGTTTTAAACAGAACTGAAGAGGTCTCGGTGTATTTCTATGGGGAAAATCTCTGTGAATAAAGTGAACCATTTCAAAATTTATAGACGTTACAAAAAACAAATCCAGCACCTGTCTCCTGGATGAGCTGAACTTCTTCAAATATGGCTAAAACAACACAAAGTGTTCAGAAGCAGCTAGATTGCAAAAGGAAGAAAAACTAAGAATATAGTGAAAGTTGCTCAGTCGCATTTTGCAAAAATGAGTTATTTTTTTTGTTTGAAAACTCTTCACAGCGTTGGTGGGGGGTTATTTCATGTCTCTTTGATCACTCCGTTTCAGAAGGTTGTGATTGTAACCATTTCTGCAAAGTCAACCAATCTGCACTTCCTGCAATCCAAGCCTRCAAGATGAAAATGTCACTTAGTCAGATTTTACCACTAAAATGTGTGCGAGTCTTGCAGCTGTTCTGCGTAACAGAAAGCATGTGTGCATGTGTGTGTGTGTGTGGCCGAAGTGTTGGAGGCTAACGTCGTCCTCTCCCATCCTCTCAGGCGTGCCTGGATTGTATCTGTCGGGGTTGTCAGAACTCCTACATGGCCAACGGTGAGAAGAAGCTGGAGGCTTTCGCCGTGCCGGAGAAGGCCTTGGAGCAGACGCGGCTCACTCTCGGCATCAACCTGACCAGCATCACGGCGGCCGCGGCGCTCCGCAACCCGGCGACCACCAGCATCCGCGCCAACACCCTCCTCAACGTGGCCACGGCCACGGGGACTCCRGTGACCACGGCCTTCCTGTCCCCCAGCCCCCCGCGGGATCCCAACTACGAAGACAGCCTGGAGCTGCTGATCGGATGAGCGGCGGGCTTGTGACGGCCGATCGCTGGGTCTGTGGGGACCACCTGCACCCCTTCCTTCACGGGGGAGGGAAGCACGGCAGCTATCATATTCTGTGACCTGCTCTTTTTCTTTGTTGGAAAATGCTGAGTAGTAAAACTAGCATGGGTGTGCCAAAGCCTCCTGTATTGTGCCTACGTGCCGGTGTGTTGTGCTGCCAGTCTGTAGTTACTTCATTTAAGGATGTTCATAGACGACAGACATAAGAGGCAATAGAAACCCAGGACAGGTTATTCTAGTATGTGTATGCTTGTGTGGATTTTATTATTTCTTCAAATTCGGTGCAAAATGTTAGCATCTGCAACCTTGTGTTTATCAAAGCTGCAGCCGTTTTCCAGTTCGAGTGTTGCTGTCTTTACTGGTATCAGGACAGTCAGTACTAACTCCTAACATGTTCACAGTTTAACTGTAAATGTTCGTTCTGTCAGTAGTCCCTTCAGTCCGAGCACCRTCAGCTGGTTTTCAGCTTGTCTGATGATGTCAGAGCACTTGCCTGGTGCCACGGTTTGAGTGCGTGCGTGAGATTAACTCTAATATTAGAGATATACGCTCGATTGGTAAAACAGCACCTAAAGCTCCTCTTGGTTATCACAGCAATAGCAACAAGGAGCCCGCCTGCTCCGGTTGTTTACACTTTTATCATTGCAGACTGTAAACATCGTGATATGATTGTACACAGTTATGTGGAAAATTAAACTGAAGCCATAGGTTGTCATGAAAAAGAAAAAAAAGATATCCTTTAACTACACACACAAATTTGACTGATCAGAAACTTGAAGCTTATTTTTGATACTGTTTCCGATTTGTTCCCGGCGTCTCGTTTTCTCCAATCACAACAAAGTCCTCCAATCTTTCCTGAGGCTGCGTGTCGTCTGTGTTGGTGTTTACCATCTCAGCTGTAACTTCATGATGTTTGTCAGTACTGGTGACCAAAAACAAAAGAAAAGAAAGACTGAACCAAGAGCGGACTCTGGTCGATCACAAACACCTCAGCTCGTCCATCCTAAGTCAGGAAGTAGCCGGTGAAGTAGAGTTTGTTCAGCAGATATGACTTCTCTTCCTCTGTATGATTCAAATATGTATATTTTGTTTGGGCATTACTTGAACCCTGATTTTTTTCTCTTTTTTTATTTTCTAATGTTAAAGAAACTTGTTTGAGTGACTTGCTGAAACATTCACTGCCATATTATGGAGACATGTAATACAACATGAATTAAAACATAGTTTTTTACTTTTTCAGCTTTGTGTCTTTTTGAGTGCATGGGCTGTTATTGGGTGGGATTACGCACCAGAGGTGGGTACTCGAGTCACATGACTTGGACTTAAGTCAGACTCGAGTCATTAATATGACTTTAGACTTGACTTGGGGCTGTTTACTTAAGACGTGATATTTTACACAAAATCTATAGTTTAATACACATTGTTTATAACAGTGATTCTCAACTATGCGAGCATATCATGGGGTATGTGGAATAAACTCCCAGGTGTGTAAAATATAAAAGTAAGGCTCTATGATTTCCACAATGCGGGAAATGCAAACAATCACAAATTGAACTCTATAAAATACAGAATTTGCTCTTATTTGCTTGTACCGTAGCTCCTTGAATTTGATGTATTTTGGACAATACAATGAATTTTCTTTGCTGCTGCTTCCTTCACCTGCCATTACCTGGTTTATTTAATTACTTACTCACTTTCAAGGYAACATATTCATCTTTGTTTAATTTGTGTTGAAAAGAATAAAATGCTTGAGAACTAAATGTTCTAAGGGGTTAAATAAATAATTTTCATTTAATATTCCGTTGTACATTATAGGTTTGGAGAATCATTACGTTTGACTGAAGGTGTACTAGTGGTTTGACAAAATGGCTCAGGACAAGTCTAAAAAGGTTGGGAACCATTAATTCCTTTCACTTATACAGTATTAACAAAGGCAAACTCCGTCTCACTCTGTGTGTGTGTGTGTGTGTGTGTGTGTGTGTGAGCTGCAGCACAGCAAATCAAATTAACCAGATTTATAAAAATGGAAAATGAATAGTTTAAAGGAAGACTATTTTTTGCAGCTAAGTTTATTTGAACTGTGCAATATAAAGGTGCAATTTTAAAATGATTTTTCAAATACTTTGTAAGTTCTTTTGCACGTTTCATCACGATTTGGTATAATAATTGGGATCACCAATGCTAATCCCAATCTAAGCTAACCACTAAGATTTACAGAGCTGAAAACTGGTATAGTAGCTGAAAAGAACAAGCTTTGACCAATTCTGAATGCTAAATAAAAATTCAAGATGGCTGCAAGAGGTCATTTGAAACTGCAACAATTCAAACATTTTAAAACATTTTGTGTTAAAGCTTGGTGTGGTGGAAGTTAAGAACGGACTCCATCACATACTGAAGCCAAATCAAAAATCCAAGATGGCCACCACCGCTAAAATGCAAAATTGACCATAACTTTTAGACCTATTTGGCTGAATTAGAGATGGTAGTAGGTAAAAGTGATCTCCAACAAACAGCAAATTAAAATCTTTATTTAAATTGGATGACACCTTTAGTTTCTCCAAGAACAATTCTAGTTTGTTTTTTTAATCTTTGGAAAGGCTAAAAACAGTGTGGAGACACATTCTGCTGTTACACTTGATTTTTATAGTTTAAATATGAATACATATGTAAAAATAAATGAAACCATATCTGTCCCCATCACTTTACCTTAATAACACTTAAAGGCACAGTGTGTAGGAATTTGTCAAGTCTTTTAGCCGAAATTGAGATAATCACTAATGACAATAATAAAAAAAACATGTCTAATCATTGCAGACAAAGACCTTGTTTTATTATTTTTACCTTATAAAAAGCTGTTTATATCTCCATGGTCGCGGGTCGCCACTACAGGCAGCCGCCATCTTGCACCGCCATCTTGTCTACGAAGGCTCATGAAGGACAAACTGCGGTGGCGGCGTCAAAAACGGTTTTAGTTGTAATACTATAAATGTAATATTTGTTGTCTGTCATTGTAGCTGGGATAATTGTACTTATTAAAGCTCATAATCTTACCACTTGAAACATCACTAGCCCTGAAGCTGCTGGTAGACATCGCGGTTGGAATTATCAAAGGTTTTTGACACCTGAGAGACACCGTAGCAACTCCTTTGTGTTTGGAAGCGGGGGGTGGGGGTGGGGGGAGGACCAGGGAGGATGATTCAACCACTAGATGTTGCTGAAAACAACAAATCCTACACACTGTGCCTTTAATAAGATTTTATCTCCGAGCTGGAAGTGTCCCTGGATTTAGTTCTAGTTATCACTTTTGCCTTCGGGTGAAATGTCACAGCTTCACAAGGGCAAAGAGTTCTCAGACCCTGTCCCAGTACTCACACTCCCACCCTCGTTCCACCCTTGTGCACTTCAAATGCGCGTTCATGTTGAAGGGTTTGAGTGCGTAGTAGTGTGTCCCACATTCTCCACATCCGCTCTTAGCCCCGCCCATTTTGGGTACTATTTCCACCCTTACGCAAAGTCCACATTTTTAGGGACTTTGGCAAAGTGTATTACCCACAATTCATCGCTGTGTGTGACGTTTTGAATTAAAAGGTAGATATCTGGCAATGTCCACTGAGCACCTTCCAGTTTAGTGGTGGTATTAATGCACTTAAATAATCTGCTAACTACCAATAAAGAAGAAGCTTTCTTCTCCTAAAAACGGTTGCTTTTTGTAGTTGTACTATCATTTTTAGCAATACAAATGCCAAAACAGTGACTGGTCCCACCATGTTGGATGTCACAGTTASGACGCAGAGGCGCAAGTCGTAACCCGTACTATCCCAATTCTTAGTTTTTTTGCACGCTTGTAACCTGCGCACTGGAACACTTCTGTGCACTTGGACTGAACCCACATTTCACAGAGGGGTGTAGGGTGCGCACTGAGCATCGGGGCTGGGCCTTAATGTCTTTGAAGGAGTTGCAGAAACATCCTACCACCTGAGTCTGGAACATGTTAAAAAAAACAGTTTGTGCGACAACTTTGCTTTCCAAAACGTCAAAGTCATCACCGATGTCCCGTCTCAGAAACCCGTCAACACTTCTAAAGTCTTTGCAGGTGACCACGGTTAACAAAACAAGAATTCCAGGCTCGTCCTCGTCAAAACTTTCAACTGTGTTAATAAGAGGATCATTGAAATCATGTCAGTGACAATTATTATTGACGTCACTCTCAAAACCTTCAGCCACGGGTGAATAAAGTCGAAAGAAATCCCACCATATTTAAAAAAACAACAACTTGGAAACTATTCTCAGTAAAAAATGTGAACTTTTGACCCGTGGACATGTTGTTTTATGCTTCCTAGGAAAGGCTCCTTGGCTCTGACTGCTGTACCTGCAGGCAACAGTTAGTCACTCTGTCTGTGCGGCCCCAAACACACAACAGATCCAGTTTTTTTTTACGTCATACATCCTGTTTCCCAGCCTGTGTGAAGTTTAGCTACTGCTGCTGGGGTAAATAAACACCAGATAAGTGGTTCTTCTTTGTTGGTTTCTTCAGACCACTTTAGTGTTCCTCTGTTTAATCGCAGCTACAGTTCCACCATCCACAGGAAGGTCATCAGTTCTTTAATCTTCCAGTCTTTTCAGACAGCGACTCGAGCAGAGCCTCTGACATTCTGCTGAACCACGTCCCAGTTTCGGTTCRCTCCGTTTAGCCCACCAGGAAAGCCCCAAAGTAGCTCGCCCTCCCGTCCACCTCCAAGGCGCTGGCGTTGCTGACGGTGACGAAGAGGCGGTCGGCGGGCTGGAGGAAGGCGGTGCCGGCCTGGTGCAGAGAGAAGAGGCCCGGCTCCTGACCGCGAGGCCAGCAGACGCTCCGGGAGGATTTCATCAGCAAGATGGGCCCCGTGTAGGAGCTCATCTGAAGAACACGGAACGAAACGAGATCAAAACCAGTTTTTTAGTTCATCTCCTCCATCAGCCCCAACAAGAACAACCCCTAACCTTTTTGTAGATGTACTGGATGAGTTCTGCTCCCTCGTCCTCCGCTGCGTCCTCTTCGGTCTCTGCCGCAGACGGGAGTCTAAAGTAGGTCTGAGCGTAGACGTAGTAGAGCCCTGCTTTGGGCACCAGCAGCTCGCCTCCTCTCAGCTCCATGTTCTGCAGGAACGACAGACCTCTCTGGCTCTCCCATGCTCTGATGCGCTCCCCGACGTAGCCCCTGTTGTTCCACAAACCTGCTACGGCAACAAGCAGAAATACTACATATATAA